GCTTTTTTACCAATATGAACGGCAAAACGAAATTGGCGATGCTCGCTTTCTAGCCCCTCTTATCAGCTATTATCAGTCGTTATCAGTTCCTATCACGTACCACTTGTGTCCCCATCCCACCCCCTATAACATATGTAAGAACCACTGCGCTATCGTTACTGTGACTCGAGCTATGAATTTCCGGTCAAACACACACACACACACACCAACAGACACACGCTAGCCGCTTATATATAGTAGGAGGATGCTTAGATGTTGAAATAGAAGTGTCCAGTGATCATCATCCTGTTTCTTCCATCATCTACACTCATTCGCAGGGAATTTAAGCAAAGGAGCGGTCGAATGAACAATGGTGCAGGCGATGGAACGCAAATGAAATAGGAATGAAATTAGTTGGGGTTTTCAACTGGCGTTTGCCGTAACATTACATCACGTACACCGTTATTGAGGACCTTTAGCTCCTTTCACGCTTTTTGGTCCACCAAATATGTTCCCGTCCCACCCCTACATCACTTCTTGGAACCAACGCCTCACTGCTGCTGGGACGCGCGCTATGAATTTCGTGAAATTTGCTTTCAGCGCCTCTTATCAGCCCTTATCAGCCGTTATCACTTTCTGTACCCCACCAAACATGTTCCCGTCCCACCCTGTACATCACTTCTTGGAACCAACGCCCCACTGCTGCTGGGACGCGCGCTATGAATTTCGTGAAATTTGCGTTTCAGCGCCTCTTATCAGCTCTTATCAGTCGTTATCACTTTCTGCCCCCACCAAATATGTTCCCGTCCCACCCCCTACATCATACTCAAAATACAGCGCTCCATGCTGCAGCGAAGCGCGCTATGAATTTCGTGACAAACAGACGCACACACACAGACATACTTAGCGAATTATATATAGTAGAATAATCTCAAATAAATCCTCATTAATATTATACACTTAACAGCTTGCCAAACAACAAGTTCTGGACATGGAGGATCCAAAAACCACTACTGACAGCAAAACTCTAACGAGAAGGGGCCTGCGCCCTCATAAGAAGACGGATCGAAGACGCTCGAGGCACTAAAGGCAAAGGAGACAAACAAAAATTTCTATCTCCAGCTTAAGTCACAAAAATACTCCAAGCATTCCTCTAAGATTTTCTCTTGAAATTCTCGGTAATTAGTGATGATTGTTAATGTTGGCGCGTTTGCCGTTGTATCAGTAAACAATTACAATTTTAAGGCGACTGCCAATTCAATTTTTAAGTAATAAATCTTTTTGTTGATCTACATATACGGCAAGTATTTTGCTCGCTTTTACAATGGATTGTTTGACTGTGGGTGGATGTGCTGCAGTAGCTCTTCTGAAGCATACCACAAACGCTCGATAGGACTTGACTGGAGGAAGCCGGCAGGCTCAACCTTGCCGAATATTCTCTCGTTCCAAGAGTTCTTCATCTTCTTGCTCGATGCGCTCGCACCGGCAGACCATCATGTGCGGTCGCCATACTACTGTTCTGGCGAGGATTACGTACCTTGTAATCCTGAGAAGTGATTGCTTGTTTTTCTTCTTCTGACATACAGGTTGTTACGGTGGAACTATTTATTCGGTCGACGTTTCGAACAACTCGTCGTCTTCAGGACCTGAAGTCGGTTCGAAGTTTTAGCTTGTAACTTACCCGGTCAAGCCCCACGATACTACTCAAGAGTTTCAAATAGAGGAAAATTCAACTAAGGAAACCAACCTTAGCAGCTCCACCAGCGCCACGTGTCCACCCCAATTCGTCAGTATAATGTGGAAAATGAGACACACATGACAGTGAAGCGTCATACGTGCCATATGTGAATATCTCACAATCCACATAAAGGAATGAAAGGCAGGAATTCATTTGTAATGGCAATGCATTCATTTCGGTTATTTAGCTTTGGATTTCGACGCGGATATAGAACGCTTCTAACATCTTTCTAGCACCGATGTCATCCTCGCGGGCAAGGATTCTGCATTCAATATTCAAAATCATTGCCCTGGTGATCTTCTAACCGGTGCTTGCCAAGTGGAGTAACCAGGTTCCCGCCTTTTTCCTGCCAGATGTTCTTTAACGCGTATGCCTAACATCCTGCCCGTCTCTCCGATATAAACTTCGTTACAGGTTGAACATTGAAGTTGGTATACTGTCCCTCGTTGTGCACAGTCTCCATGCCTTCCATATGGGCAAATTACGCAGTCGTCGGCCGTGCATATTCGGTCGTATAGCCTATTGCGGATTAGTTGTTTGATATTTTCCCCTGGTATATTAATCAAAACGACGTCGTTGGCTAGATTTGCTCTTACTATGCACTGGCGTATAGCTGCGCTGACTTTATCTGATATAAAAGGCAATTGGAGATGTGCAATGTCTTCGCGACTACGCGCGGAACGCCCTTGTGACGCCTCGCGATTTCTCGCGGAATACCTTTGTGAGCCTGATCTTCTTTGTTCTTCGTAGCCATTCATCCTTGCAATGACAGAAGCTAGCTTACGAGACTCATCTCGCTCCATGTTGCCTGTACAAACTCCAATGCTGTTTTGTACATGTTTCGAACAACCAGCGTTTTTTACAGCTGTGGGGTGTGCAGACTTCGCATGGAGTAAGATGTTCTTTGAGCTGCTTTTCCGGTACCACTTCACACTATACGTTCCATTCGAGATTTTTATCTGTGTGTTCAAGTAAGGTAGCCAACCATTGTGTGGAACTTCTCTGTGAACTTTATGTACTGTGATTGTTGATTGAGTATATTGAATAATTCATCCATTTCGAGTTG